GGATTAAGTGTTAATTTTTGACCATGGAGTGTAGTCATGATTTCTCCCCCCTGAGCTTCTTGAATAACAATTTTTTTCTTTTCGGGCAAAGCATCATAATCAAAAATATGAAAAGGCTGACCAGTTTCTAACATTACTAAATTAGCAATGTCTACTAGGTTATTAATAGAATGAATATTATTTGCTTCTAATCAATCTTTTGCTCACTGAGGACTCTCTTTAATTTCAATATTTTTTACAAAGCCTAAGCGAAATTCTAAGCAATCATTAGTACTAATTTCTACCTCAATCAATTTTTCTTTGCTTTCATTTATAATAGGAATTTTGGATGGATTAATTTGACAATTTAGTAAAACTCTTATTTCTTGAATTATCCCTCACCATGATAATAAGTCAGTCCGATTAGGAAGAGTGTCAAATTCGCAATATATATTATTTTCCTGCTTGACTATTTTTGTTTCTAGTCCGCAATAACTTAATTTTTCACCTAGTTCTTCAGGAGTAATTTTTGACAAAGAAATGTGTTCTTTGATGTATTTTCAAGGTACTAACATATATTAATAAGATTTATCCTTTGTTACTTAAAATTCCTCGTCCTCTTTTTCGCTTGTGAAAATAGGCCAAGTAAGCAGAACAACTAATCAAATTCCTAGTGAAATAGGGGAAGAATAAAGCAGTAATTATCCGATTGTTGGAGTCATAAAAATAAAACCATTTACAACCAACAAATAAAGAATAACATAAAAAAGCGGTGAAATTAAAAATAAATCTCATCAATAAAGTTTTTTTCAATAAATAAAGAAAATTAAAGTAATTAAAGTAATTAAAGTAATTAAAGTAATTAAAGAAACTCAGAAAGTAAGATATATTAGAGTAAAAAAATTTCTAATTTGGCGTCCATGACATTATTCAAGAATCGTTTTTAGGCGGAATTTTGATTTCATATTTTCTTTCTGTTTCTTGGGAAGACAGATTTGATTGGTACGGGACAAGGGATTCGAACCCTCAATACCAAAAGGCGCTAGGTCCTAAGCCTAGTGTGTTTACCGTTCCACCAATCCCGCTTTACTGGTGTCCTGTGGAGGGATCGAACCTCCGACTTTCTCCTTAAAAGGGAGACACTCTACCGCTGAGTTAACAGGACTTTTTACTTGTTAAAATTTCTAATTCGACTTATTTTTTTCCTTGACTACACTTACATTTCTCTTTATAAATTCACCATAATATAACGTAACTAACTAGCAAAAGCAGATTAAAAATGAAAACACCAAAGATGGTTTTGATGCAAAATACCCGCGGAGGAAATCACCCATATTGCTTATTTAGTAAATGTAAACAGATTAATAGTATGCTGGATATTACACTAATATTTACCAAGTATTGCAGATATTTATCGACTCACTTCATAATATAGTTTTAACTTGGCTGGGGTAGCTGGAATTGAACCAACACGCAAGGAGTCAAAGTCCTTTGCCCTACCATTAGGCTATACCCCAAATTACACAACTTGACTAGTCTATTTAAAAAAACGAGAAAGTGATTAAGGGAAATAGTAAATGATTATCTTCAACTCAACAAAAAAATTTTACTAAACCCTTTTTCTGACTCTATTTTATTTCTTGTCGTCTCCTTTATTTACAAAGTGCCTGATAATTAGTCATAACAAGCCCACTATTCCGATAAACACAATAAGAGCACTTATATAAACTTCGGTGCCAGTTGCAGGTCTTGGTGGCTGATTGTTAATAGTTGCTGTATAATATTCTGGATTAGTATTTGTATGATATCCTATTAAAAATAATATCATTAATGCTTGCAGTTCTCTTTAGTAGAAAACACATTTGGAGAAATTGACCAAACAATAAGTAATTTTGATTGACTCGATGCATTGTAGCAAAAAGGGATGCGATTTTTAGATGCATATTAAGCTTTACTAATAATCTTATTTTATCATTTACAATAAAATATACAGTCAATTCTCTCTATAACGAATTGATGGTTCTGTGAGTAAAAAAATTTCTATAGAACCTACTACTCTTTCTATAACGAACTAATATAAAATTTAGAAATTTAAGGTCCGTTATATCCAGAGTTCGTTATAGAGAGAGTCGACTGTATACAGTAATTCTTTATTTTACTAATTTTCAATAATATTTCAATTGAATATTGAATATCAACATTTTAAAAGTAAATAAGATGTGCATAGTAAACCTCGATAAGCCGAAGTGGTTGATCAATTAGAGCTAAAATTCCTAAAATCTGGTCTATCGGGAAAATTTCTTAGTGACCAACAACATAATGTGCCACTTGCATCGTTAATTTGGGTAATATATATTACAGTCGACTCTATAACGAACCTCTTTATAACGAACTCTGGATATAACGAACCTTAAAGTTTTAAACTTTATATATTAGTTCGTTATAGAAAGGGTAGTGAGCTCTTTAGGAAACATAGTGATTTTATATAACGAGCATTTTTTTACTAATAGAACCATCAGTACGTATATGGTGCATAAAATCTAAAGTCATTAAATGTTTGTATTTTATAAAATGGATAAACTTCTTTACTAAGAAGTAAATACAAAATTTAATCCGTAAATATGCTCA